TTTAATTTTTTCTCTTACTTCCCTTCCTTTCACTTTCCTTTTTCTCCTTCTGTCTATCTGTTTTTTTTCCCTTCCCCTCACTTCTCCCTTTTTTCCATTTCCTTCTTGTTTTTTTCATTTCCTTTCCATTTCTCCTTCCCCCCTACTTTTTCTTATTTTCATTTCCCTTTTTCCATTTCATTCTATTCCCCTCGCATCTTTCTACCTTCTATTTCATCTTTCTTTCTTTTTCTTCTTCTCTTTCTTGTTCCTTTTTATTGTCTTATATCTTCGATCTCCCATTTTTATCTCTTTTTCCCCTTTTTTCCATTACCCTTACCCTCTATGGTTTTCTTTTTTCTTCTATTCCTCCGTTTCTATTTCCATTCTCTCTCCCTTTCCCCTCTCTCTTTCCCCTCCCTTTCTCTTTCCCCATTCTCTGCCCTTTTTCCTTCTCTCTTCCTCTCTCTTTCCCCACTCTTTTCCTTTCTCCCTCTTTCCCCTCTCTCCCTATCTCTTTCCTTTCTATTTCCCCACCCTCTCTCTTTCTCCCTCTTTCCCCTCTCTCTTACCCCACTCTCTTCCTTTCTCCCTCTTCCCCCTCTCTCTCCCTCTCTCTCCCCCCTCCCCTTCCCTCATCTTTTCGGACGATGACCCTCCCCCCCCTCCCCCAGACGTATAATCAGAGCCTATTGGTCGAAAGCGAGAGGGTGGGGGTAGGGGGGGTAGGGGGGAAGTCATGGGGGAGAAGCTGGGAGGCGACATGAGGAAGGGAGTAAAGGTGGATAAAAGGAGGGCAAAGAAGAAAGGGGAAAGAAGAGATCGAAATGAAGAGAGAAGACAAAGGATATAAATGGTGTATCTGGCAATATTATTATCATTTTTTATGAGAATGGAATGGAAGATAGAGATAAAGAAAGAAAGAAACAGCTTTCTCTTTCGTCTATCCTCTCTCGCTCTTTCTCTATCTCTTTCTCTTGTTCTTTTTTTCTTTCTCTCTATCATTTTTACTTCCTTTCTTTCTCGTTCTTTCTCTCTTTTTCTCTCTCTTTCCCTATCTCTCTCGGTCTCCCTCTCTCTCCGTTCTTTCCCTCTCTTTCTCATATCAGTCTTCCAACTTATTTATTTTGTTCCTTAATCTATAATTCAGCATTTCTCTCATTTCACACTTCACCTTCATCCTCCTCCTCTTTCTCTTTCTCATATTTCTCTCCAATTCTCAATTATCTCCAGTATTCAAATGAGCGATTAAGAAATCGTTATAATTAGCGTAATGAATAATCATATAAAATTCTTGCACTGTTTTTTTTTCTCTCGACAATCGGCTTAGTAGGAAACACGACTTCTATAAGAAATAATAATAGAAAAAAAAAACAATAAAAAAATCGTTTAAAAAATAAAATAAATGAATAAACCGTAATGTTCCGGAGAATATTTTCCACGTAATATTGTTTCCTTTGATTTTTTTTTTGTTTCATTGTTCTGAATGTTTTTTTTTTCTTTTTGTTATTTTTATGTTGCTATTATCCTATGTTCTGAATGGATTGCTTTTCTTTTTTCGTTTCTATTTCATTGCTATTAATTTTTTTCGGTACCTCCCTCTCTTCCTTCTTTATGTTTATCTTCTTTCTATTTCTCTCATCTCTCTCCAGATTTAATGTTCTCGCTTCTCTCTTGAGAATGCAGGGGTAGTGACGTCATCATGGATATCAGGGTCTTTTCTCTGACGTCAGAATCGAGGCGGGGCCGGCTCATGACGTCATACTTGAGCAGCGGAGCAATTAAGGATAGTCTACGGAAAATTCACGCATTTAAATTTAAAAAAAGGGAAATGCTTTTGGTGTGAGGTTACAGATGCAAGAGAGGGTCTATCTACTACTTCATGAATCAGCCATGAAAATTCAAATCGTCCCTTTGGCCGTTGAATCCTTCTAACCACAGGGCCTTCTGATTGGTTCCCAAATCCTGACGAGGTGGGGCTTAATGATGACGTCAGCTCCCCTGCCATGACGTCACTGAGCGAACAGTTCGGCAAATCAACTTTATTCGGCGCCAAAAAAGGATTCCTCGTATTTGAGAACTTCCAGCATTCCTGTGGGAAAGTCAATATTGCTAAAGGCTGAAGTTGCCACTCGTATTTCAAACTCTAGATTAGTCGCTGAGTTTGAATCGGAGATTTTCGGAAAGTGGGCCGCGTATGTTAACATGGTGACTCTTGGCTACGAAAAAAACGCACTTATTTACACAGACGTGTATAAATACACGCACGCACAGCTCACACACACACACATATACACACAAACAAACACACACACACACACACACACACACACACACACACACACTCAGTCACTCATTCACTCACACACACACACACACACACACACACACACACACACACACACTCACTCCTGACTCACTCACTCACTCTCTCTCTCACACACACACACACACACACACACACACACACACACACACACACACACACACACACACACACACACACACACACACTTACACATAAACACACACACACACACACACACACACACACACTTACACATAAACACACACGCACACGTGTTTGTCTATATGCGTTTGTGTGCGTAAATAAATGTCATTTCATGTGTGCAACATTCTGTACAACATCGCGACA